TCACTAATTTTTTAGATTCTTGTGTAGATCTATACTTTTAAGACTTGCAGAAAAAAAGGAAAGATCCTTAGCAATTTAACTTCATTTAACCTATTGTCTTTTGTGTTAATTTTACCCTGTATTCATATTTTTATATATGTTTAAATCATACAACTCATCATTAACTGTTATTTTAAATGTCAGTATTAGTTTATATTCATCTATATATTTACCTTTTCTCATAACTCATCTAGTCTGTGCTTCTATGTAAAGTCATTTCATATAACAAATTCTTTTAGCTTTTGTTCATTAAAAAATATTTTTTTCATTTCCATGTCAGAAGGGATATTTTCTTCAATATAGAATTCTAAACTGATTGGTTTGTTTTCTTTTTTCTTTGTCTTAGCTCTTTAGAGTTGTCATTTTATAATCATCTGTTTCCATTATTTTTGATAGAAAAAAATTCAGTGCTAGTCTTATTGCTGCTCCATTTTCCTTGACTGTTTTTAAATTTTTTCTTTCGACTTTGGTTTTCAGTACTTTGACTGTGATGTGTTTAGGGTAGGGTTTTCTTTATATCCTCCTGAGATTTGTAGAGCTTCATAGTTCATAAGCTAGAGGCTTCTTTTCTCTTCCCCCCCCCCCCCCCCCGCTTCTTTCTGTTTTAGCTTTGGAAAATTTTTACAGTATTTTGCAAATAGTGTTGTGTTTTATTCTGTATCCTCTTTGTTATAACTCCAGTTAGGTGTGTGCTAGACCTTTTTATCATGTTTTCTGTGTCTTTATGTTCTTTTTTTATATTCTCTCTTTTATATCTTTGTATAATTTTTCTGTAAGTTTCTTCTCTGATCCTCTGTTTTGCTGTTTCCAACCATTGATTTCTTTTTTTCCCCCATTTTTAAAAAATTGGTGCATTAGTTGTACATAATGGTGGGATTTGTTGTTAAATATTTTTTTACCAGCGCACAATGTAACAATGTAATTTATCCTGATCATTCCCCAGAATTTCCCTATTTGCTCCTCTCCTACCTTACCTTTCTCTACTCTATAGATCTTTCAATTTTCATTAGACCCACCCCCTACTACTTTTCTTTTCCTTTTGTCTGTTTAGCTTCCACATATAAGAGAAAATATAGGATCCTTGACTTTCTGAGTTTAGCTTATTTTGCTTAGCATAAGTTCTTAAATTCTATTCTCCTGCAAAAGACCCAAGTCTCTGTTCATCGATAAATAAAACTCCATTATTGTGTATATGTACCACTTTTTTTTATCCATTCATCCGTTGACAGACAGGCTGATTTTCACTTTAGTGATTGTATTTTCCAGTTCTAGATTTATATTTGATGGCCTTTAAAAAATTCTAGGAGTTTACTAAAGTTCTACATCTTTCCTGTCCCCTCACCTTTGAAAATATCAAGCACAGGTATTTCAAATTCTCTGTAACTCCAAAATTTGAATGAATTTGGTCTTTTAAAATTATTTGTTACTTCCTTTAGTTACTCATTCTTTTAAAATGTAATAAAATTTATTAATTTGTTTTTTGTACTGGAGGTTGAACTTGGGGTGCTTTACTACTGAGTTACATTCCCCAGTCTTTTTCATTTATTTATGTATTTATTTAAAAAATATTTCTTTAATTGTTGATAGACCTTTATTTTATTTATTCATATGTGGTGCTGAGAATCGAACCCAGTGCCTCACACATGCCAGGCAAGTGTGCTACTGTTGAGCCACAGCCACAGCCCTATTTTTTTATTTTGAGATAGGGTCTTGTCAGGTTGTTGAGGCTGGCTTCAAACTTGCCATTCTTCTGCCTCAGGCTGTCAAATAGCTGGAATTACAGGTGTGCACTATCCATTCCCCAGTTTTATCTTAAGATTAAATTTATAAAACATAACTTTCATCATTTTAGCCATTTTAAGGTGTATAATTCAGTGTTTGTTTTTGGTATATTCACAGTGCAGTCTTAAGTTCAGAGCACTTCCATCACCCCTGAAAATACAACTCATATATGATGTCAGTCAGTCCCACTTCCCCTTTTTCCCCATCCTGTGGCAACAGCTAATCTTTTCTCTCTTTCTCTTACTTCTTCTGGACATTTAATATAAATGGAGTCACACAACATGTGGCCCCTTTTGTGTCCAGCTCCTTCCACTTGGAATATTTTCAAGTTTATCCATGTTATAATGTGTGTCAGTACTTCATTCCTTTTCTGTGAATGAATAGTACTCTATTGTATTCATGAACCATATTTTGTTTAGCCATTCCTCAGTTGGTGGACATCTGCGTTTTTTTTCCATCTTTTGACTATTGTGAATTATGCCATTGTGAATGTTTGTATACAACTTTTGTCTGAATGTGTTTTATTTCTCTTGAATAAATACCAGGAATGGAATTGCTAGATGATATGGTAGACATACGTTTAACAAGAGGAACTGCCAAACTGTTTCCCAAAGTGACTATACCGTTTTACACTTTTCCTAGCATATATGAGAATTCCTGTTTCTCTACATTTTAGCCAACACCTACCATTTGGGTAGTTATTATTATTATAGCCATCCTATTGGGTGTTGGCCATTTATGATGGTTTTTTAAAATGCCTGTGATTTATGATAAAATGTCAGACATTGTGGTTAGATAGGATTGCATACCTGAAATCCCAGTTACTTGGGAGGCTATGGAGGAGAATTGCAAGTTTGAGGCTGGCCTGGGCAATTTAGTCAGACTGTGTCTCAAAAAATTTTTTTAAAAAAAGGTTGAGGATGAGCTCAGTGGTAGAGAACCCCTGGGATCCATCCCAGTATTTAAGAAAAAGGGCAAACATAACAATTCTAGAAAGTTAAAGATTGTGTTCTTTTCTTCTAAAGAGAATTAAGTTTTCCTTTGGTATGAGAAGTACTAGGAGATCGAGTATTGAGGGTTCATTAAAAGATTTATAGGGCTAATCTATTTCAGTTTTGACCTTAGTCTGAGGTGAGGCTCTTCTGAAATCTGGAGAGCTGGAGTTGTTTATGAAGTCCCCTCTAACTGAATGGGCTATACTCCAATCTTTTATCTACCAAGCATTAGGCAGTAGCTGGAATCTCTGCTTGGCTCTTTGGCCTCCTAACTGCTGTCTTCTAGTAGTTGTCTTGAATTTTTCGCTTTCTGTAGTTTTCCTTTTTGGGGGACTTTATTCTTTAATTTTCTGCCGATTTTTAAAAAATTGAGTCATTCCCCCTTAATCCAGAAGAATTTCTGCTTTGTGTTTTGGCACTTTTTACTCCATACACTGCGCACTCACAGAAAAAGCCAAAGAAATTGGGGAGCTGGTCTTTTAACATTCTTCCCCTTTTTCAAGAATTGTAGCTTCTGTTCCTCTTTGGTTACATAGTGCTTTAGTGCTTTTAGACAGGTTTTTTTTTTGCACTTTGTCAGGATTTTATCACTTTTATTAGCAGAAGGGTTAGTTATTACTCTTAGGATGGTAAATAACAACTAGTGATGTTTTATGAGTTGAAATACAAATAAATAACCAGGTTTGAAAGCATGATAAGTAAAGGATAATTAAAAATAAGATATGTAATAGACTTGATGTTTGGTTTTTGTATGTGTCTGAAAACTAAACAAGGTTATTAAGTGTTTTAAGATACAAGTTGGATAAAAAATTAAGATGAGAGCTGAAAAGAAAATACTTAATAAACGCCAATTATCTGGATTTAGTAGTGACGAAATTAAAATTCTAACTTTTGTAGGTGCTATCAAAGTAGTACCTGCTATTTCTTTTTTAAAAAATAGTTATTTTTTTAATTGTAGATGGACAGCATGCGTTTGTTTTATTTGTTTATTTTTATGTGGTGCTAAGTATTGAAGCCTGTGCTTCACACATGCTAGGCAAGCGTTCTGCCACTGAGCTACAGATCTAGCCCAGCACTTGTTATTTCTACACTATGAGCTATTCATTAAATGATTGGAGGTTTGAGTGCATGTGTTGGCTAAAGAATAACATATATATCTGTTAAGTGTTTCAGAGGCAACTGTGCTGACAAAATCTGGAAAGGTATAATAAATAACTGATCAACAAATATTGTGGAAAAAATTTTAAAAATAAAGCAAAAATAAAAAATGTGGAAGAAAGTTACTGGATTGGACATTATGTTCAGATCATGGGGAAGCAGAGAAAAAAGACAGAAAGTAGATCTGTAAAGAATAAGTCCTTCTAACCTGTAGGGTTAAAAATAGATACTTGGAAAGAAACTAACCATTTGCTTTCTCCACCAAAATGTTCCCAAGATGGGAGCCCTGTGTTGCAGACTGTCTTGTATCTATGTTTTTCCTTTTGCCCTTTTGTGAACTCTCAAGGTTAGTCAGTGGTTTTCTTGAAAATTTCATTAGGAAATTTGCCAAAGGCATCCTTTTGAGGCAGCTGTCTCTGTACCCTTGGAGGCCATCAGTAATGTTTCCAATCTATAGCAGTAGTCGACACAAAAATATTGAACTGAACTATTATCTTTGTGTTTTAAAACATTATTCCATTGCCACCACTTTTCTTTCTGCACCTCAAACAGTATAAAATATGTCATATTTTTGGACCTCTGGTCCTTTTATATTTTTTATTCTCCCTTTTCAAGTAAAAATAATGATTAGTAAATATTTTCAAATATGTAATGAAAGGAGAATTAATTTTTAATGTTATTTAAATAACAATAGCTACATTAGAAATCCTTAGTAAATAAATGAATGAGAATTCTGTTTGTGTAGAATGTTAACATTTTTGCCATTGAGATTTTATAAATTAAAACACACTTTAATTGTGGTCTGTTTTTGTCCTAAGGTGCTCAAATGCTAAGCATCTTGTGAAGTTTTGGGGGGTATTAAATATGATATTTATCAGTCCATGATTAAAATACATTAGAAGAAATTGAAATGCATTTGTTGTTTTGTTTGTCCAATTTAATAATATAGTCAACTATTATTCCATATACATCTTTTATACATTGGTGTAACTGTTTCTCTTGTTTTGCTAAACTGTCTTCTTTCAGCCACCCACACAGAATATGCCTATGGGTCCTGGAGTGATGAATCAGAGCGGCCCTCCCCCACCTCCACGCTCTCACAACATGCCTTCAGATGGAATGGTAGGTGGGGGTCCTCCTGCACCACACATGCAGAACCAGATGAACGGCCAGATGCCTGGTAAGTTTTTCTCCTCTAAGACATTAACACCAGAGTTGCTTAGCAACTGAAACGACATGGGGGCTCAAGGGATACTAGATTGTTGATGACAAAACTGCTTTGAATGCCCCCGAGTACAAGCTCTCTTAGAGTTTGTTAGCTACAGAGCTACGTGACCTGTATTCAGTGTTTATCAGGCTGCCCTTGGGCTTTGATGTAGCTGACACACAGCATTCCTCTGATGAACAGAACTGGCTAAATTTAGTCTGTCTGAAACTATGCAACATAGTTGGCTTTAGAAGCTTTTTTGGGGGGAAAAGTCATTGTACCATGGCTTAAGAAATAAAATATGTTTACAAAAAGGTATTCTAACATCCCTGAGTTTTTATTTACTTAAAAATTTATTGATCTCTGAAGCAGTATCACTGAGAAAAACACATGGGAAAAAGAAACAAACAAAAACAAACTCTAAAGTGCTGGTGTATTTAGTATTTCTTCATAGATATTACTGATGCTGAATCAGGATTTTTATGAATACATATGTTTTTAGCATAACATATGGAAATTGATTTTAAATCAAAATTAAAAGCTAAGAAATAGTGTAAGCTTTCTCATATATTTTGCCATTCTTGTTTCTCTTTATCCATTTAACTTTAGAGTCACTAGAATGGTGTCTTTTAGGCCATGGGTGCTTATTTAGTTATCGTTTGCTGAAAATATCTTCAGTTTGTGTAACAATAGTAATGATAGCTATCATTTTTGGCAGAGTATTCTCTACCTTTAATACGAGAATATTTTTGCTTTCTAAAGACAAAGACTATTTTCAGTAGAAAAAAGCAAACACGACTAGCAATAAGGATAGTAAACTTAAATCATAGAACAGTTTATTGTTAAAGTTAATAATTAGCATCCTTACGATAGTATCTTTTCCAGCTGATTGTGTTGTTGGTAGCATTGGTTCCAAGGACAACAGATATAGTAAAAGAAACAAAGGGGGAACACAGAGCAAAAGAGGCAAGGTAGCCTAGTTTAGAAGATTGATGTGACACTAATCATGTAGGAGGTAAATGCTATTTCATTGGCTCTCTTATTTCCTGCTAAGACTCTCAGCATTGATGGCTCCCACACAGTATGGAGGTAGGAATAAAGACAGAACTACTTTTTAGTTTGCAGTTAGATTGTAGTCAGGAGAAAGCTGTTTGTTTGCTAAATCCACATTTAGCTTATTGGGACACATTGTTTTTAGAACTATAAGAGCAGTGCTAATACAGATTAGTTAGGAATTCTGTGATCTTTGATGGTAGTACCTTTGATCAGGTATACAACATAAAGGTATGTGTAATTATATTAGGTATATAACATATCTCCAGATAACACTGAAGCCCAAGACCAAGTAAGCATTTGAGAAGTGCACAATTAATATTATTCTGACATTTTGGTTTTTTTTGGTGTAAGGCCATCTGAAATAGTTACATTCTTTCCATAACCCAGAGATTATCAACCATTTAAGACTTGTATTGTAGAGCATCTAAAATAATAGTTAGGGGACTCTCCTAACAATAATAGCATCTAGTCACCCTTTTTAATGTGAACACTAATTTTAACTTGGCTCTTAATTTCCTATTTTAGTTCTAATAGGTTATTTGATAATTTAAGTTTCAGAGATACTTATGCCATTTGATTTTGGCCACATAACCTCTCAGTCCCAGTTCCTTTTAAAAAAAATATTGATTAAAAAAACAAAACTAGGCTGGGCATGATGGCACATGCCCATAATCCCAACAGCTGGGGAGGCTGAGGCAGGAGGATCACAAGTTCAAAGCAAGCCTCAGCAACTTAGCGAGGCCCTGTTTCAAAAAAAAAAAAAAAAAAAAGGGATGGGGATGTGGCTTAGTGCTTGAGCACCCCTGGGTTCAATTCCTGATAACAAAACAGAACAAACAAAAAACCCCTAGATAATACATGATCATGCAGCCAAAATAAAAAAGTACCAAGGTTTATAGCCCTTAACTCTCCAAACTCTGAGTTCCAGAGAGGCATTGGTTATCCTTCAAGAGGTCAAGAGGTTTTTCTCTTTCTTTGTCTCTACCCAAAAATTTTTTTCTTTTTGTACTATTCTTTTTAAAAAAACAAACCGTAGCACATTGAATAGTCTTATATGTCTTCTTTCCCTCTTAAAGATTTATCATAGAAACCATTACTCTATTCAGTGTATAAAGAACTGCCTCATTCTTTTTGGTTACTGCATCATGTATTTTTTGTTTTTGTGTTTGTTTTTTATGGATATACCCTAACTTATCTGAACCGTTTTCCTTTTGATAGAAATAAATGTTGTTTCTTGTATGTTGATAAGTTGTGCTGCCATGAATATATTTATAAAACACATATACTTTTTTACATACTTGTACCAAATATTTATATAGAATAAATTCTTAGAACTGAAATTGCTGGGTTCAAAGTATGTACATGTAAAAATTTGATAACCTTATTGTCAAGTTCCTCTATAAAAAATAATACTTATTTACATTTATTTTCTCTGTGTAGTACCTGAAAGTGCTTCTTTAAAATATAGGTTTATTAAAGTTGATTTTTGAGAATCTAAGGTGAAAATTGTATTTTAGTTTTTTTAAGTAAAGCAATCAGTCATTCCTTGTTTACGAATCTATTCTTAGGTTTCTTTGAGCTTTTTATTCATGTCTTTCATTCCCCCCCCTTTTTTTTGCTTAATATATTAGGTAATTAGTTTGATTTATGACATGTCTTCTGAGTAATTTTTTTTTAGTTTATTTATTTATTTATTTTACAGGGGGATTACTGGGGATTGAACCCAGGGACACTTAATCACTGAGCCACATCCCAACCCTTTTTATTTTTTTATTTTAGAATTTCATTAAGTTGCTTAGGGCCTTGCTAAGTTTTTGAATCTGCCTTTGAATTTGTAATCCTCCTGCCTCAGCCTCCTGGGCCACTGGGATTACAGGCATGTGCCACCACACCTGGCTCAAATTTTATATATATATATATGTATATATATATGTATACACACACACACACACACACACACATAATTTTTCAGATTTCACCTGGAATTTTTATTATTATTATTATTATTTTATTTGTTTTAATTAGTTACACATGACAATACAATGATCAAATTTTGTATTTCAATTGTTTTTGGTATCAGGGATTAAACCCAGAGGTGTTTAATCACTTCACTGAGCCACATCTCCAGCCCTTTTTATTTTTTATCTTGAAACAGGGTCTTGCTAAGTTGCTTAGGGCCTTGCTAAATTGGTGAGGCTGGCTTTTAACTTGTGAATCCTCCTGTTTCAGCCTCCTGAGCCCCTGGGATTATAGGTGTACACCACTGTTTTATCAATTTTTGTTTTTAAAGGTGTGGAATTTCTAGAAAGCATTTTCCTCCCAAGATTATTTTAAAGTTTCTCCTTTTTGAGATTCTTTAATATGGTTTCTTTTTTCTTCTTTTTTAATGTTTAAATTTTTTATACAAAGTAGATTAGTTTTATTGGGAGAAATGAGGTGATCCAGCTAATTTTTTTTTCCAGATGACTACACCATTGCCACAATACCATTTACTGAATTAATTTTTTTGTTGCCCACTTATACTGAATATCACTATATTATCACTTACCTTACTATGTATTACCTTACTATATTTTAGACCCTATTCTGGTTGATTGATCTGTTAATCTATTCATTCATATTAGTTAGTACTACATCTTTAATTACTCCAGCTTTATGTTTTGCTGTCTCATAAAGCTAGTTTACCCTTATTACTCTTCTTTTTCAGAGTATTCTTGGCTTTCCAAATACATCAGTTTCTTAATCTCTAAGATGGGAATAATAAGAATATTCACTTCACAGTGTTTTCTATCATTCATATAAGCGATTTATTTGCTATTAAATATTCAAATTATTGTTTAGTGTATGACTACAATGATGAAAAAAAACCTACAAATAGCTATTTTAGGTACTTTTGTATAAACCATCTCTTTAACTTTCAATATTTTGGTTCTGATCATTTTTCTTCAAAGGGCCTAACCATATGCCTATGCAGGGACCTGGACCCAATCAACTCAATATGACAAACAGTTCCATGAATATGCCTTCAAGTAGCCATGGATCCATGGGAGGTTACAACCATTCTGTGCCATCATCACAGAGCATGCCAGTACAGAATCAGATGACAATGAGTCAAGGGCAGCCAATGGGAAACTATGGCCCGCGACCAAATATGAATATACAACCAAACCAAGGTAATTAAGCTTTGTTCTATACTAGCGTGCTGTGTTACCCTTTTAAAGTACATACTTATATCAGGTTGTTAGCTGATTCATAAAAAATTAAGTAGTAAGAAACAGTCATGCTTTTAAAAAAAGGGGAATGTTGAGTTTGAAGCTAGATTAAATCTTTTTTTTAACATTTATAAATTAAATTGCTGAAGTTAGCTTTTCAAGTTTTAAAAAATTTGTCATTTGAACAATTTATTAGGAGATTTTTATATTATTGAGTTGTTTTTAAAGCAAATCATTGAATAATCAAACTTTTGTTTAGAGCTAAAAAAATGAGAAAATATAATTTTTGCCTTTGCAGGTACACCTTCTTAAATAAATCTGCTCTAAGGTTCATTTTACTTTTTAAGGATATATTAGTTTATATTACTTTCTTTGGACTTAGTGAGGGTTTGATATTAGAATGTTCAGTGGAGGTGCTGCTCTACTCTTCTTAGAGTGGTCTGAGTCCATTAAAGTTTATTACCAGTCTCAGAGAGTGAAATTGTTATCATGTTTCTCTTTTAAGTATCCTTGAATAAAAGCTAAAAACCAGTAAATGGTGCTTTGTTCTGCTAATTGCCTGTTAAAACATTTGGCATCTTGCCAGCGTAAAGTTATTTCATTTACAAAATGTGGTGAGGTTAAGAATATAAGAAAATTAAGTATATTTGAAATAAAATTTCCTAGATCTGATTATAAAAAGTAGATTACTGAAATGTACTCAGATAAAGAAAGTTAATGTTCTACTGAATTATTTTATGATGAAATACTATTTAATTTTTAAATATTAGTACAGAAAAAAGTATAATTTTGATGAGAGATATTGAAAACAGGTAATAGACTAAACTGTTGGTATAGTTTTACAAAACTGGTGTTTGCTCCATTTTTCCCCCCTGAAGTTCTTTAATGCCCATTATGAAGTATTTTCTTTCTTTTTTATTTTTTTTATTTATTTCACTTAAAGGTTCAAAACAATAGCAAGATCCAGTCAGTGTTAAATCAGAAGGAAGGTCATTCAGATATATCTGAGAGAGTGAGAAAACTGATGATGATTTTGATAGCAACTATAATGATTCTGATAGCACACTTCTTAAAAACCTATAGTTAGGGAAAGATAGGGTGTACACAGAAATGTATGCCTCTTTAGGGTAGTTTGATACAGTATGAAGTGATTGGGGAAGAAGAAAATAAAGCAGTGAGCATGTAGAAATTAGTTACTATTTTTGGAGAAAAAGGGTCAAGATATTCATAGCAATTTAAAATGTCATTTTATACAAATGTATCATTTTTCTTTTTACTATAGTACTAATATTACTTTTTGCTTAGTTCTCATCATTCATGAGTTTCTGGATAGAAAACACAGATTATACAAAAAATAACTATGTAGAGGTGTGATTTGAAAAACCAGATACTTTTCAAAGGAAAAAAATATGGAAATTACTGAGGAAATTCTGTTTTTAAATGTCTGTCTTGGATACAAATAAAAAATGTGCTTTTAAATTTTGGTATCTCAGAATCAAAAAACACCAAATAAAATTGTGATTCTAAAAATAAAGAAAATTTAGAAAAGTTATAGAGTATTCTGGCAGCATCCAATTTCTTTTTTGGTTTTTTGTTTGTTTCATTTTTGGTACCAGGGATTGAATTCAGGGATGCTTAACCACTGAGTCATATCCCCAGCCCTTTTTATTTATTTACTTTGAGAGAGGATCTTGCTAAATTGCTTAGGACCTCATTAAGTTGCTCTGGCTGGCTTTGAACTTAAGATCCTCCTGCCTCACTTTCCTGAGCTCCTGGAATTACACTTGTGCACTACTGCACCCATTTTCTTAATCATATGAATTCTTTAAAAAAGCATTAATTATATGGAACCTATTGTATCAATTGTTTAGCATGATGAAAGTTTTAGTAATGAATTTTTACAATTCATTTCTTTATAAAACATTTTCTTAGGTAGTTTTTACAAAAAAATAAGGTATATATTTTACATTAAGTATGTTTTAGTTTAGACCCAGTTATGGTAACACATACCTGTAATCCCAGCTACTTGGAGGCTGAGGCAGGAGGATTCCAAGTTCATGAGTGATTAAGTGATTACCCTGAGTGATTAAGCCAGACCATATCTCAAAATAAATATAATTGAAGGTTTGGGGATATTAACTCAGCAATAGAGTACTTGACTAGAATAAATGAGAAATGGTTCAGTCCCCAGTATTAAATAACAAAATAAGGATTTATTTTTGTTTTTTGTTTAGACCTAACTAGATGGAAAAAACTCTGTAATAGGAAAAATGTTTGCCTTTTAATAGTTTCTCACATTTATTGAAATATTAAGTGTTCTTTGAGTTAAAATTAAAATGTTAAAATCTTCTTTTGAATAGCCTCGTATTTCAACACATTTATCTCTATCAGGAAATGCTGGAAAAATGTTAGGAGTATTTAATAACTTTTTTATTAATGGGGTTATGAGTCATGGAAAAGAAAAACTTATGAAATTTCTTATAGCTCAGTGGTATTAGTATATGGTTTGCATGCATGTAAGTTTGATCCCCAGCACAGAAAACAAAACAACAAAGAAACCTGTGGTAAGTGACAAACGGAAAAAAAGGAATAATTGAAGAATTATGTTTTTAAAGAGAGCTATTCAAGTGGTAATTATTTAGTATATTAAATTAGTAGTATTAATATAACATTAATATGTTAATAATTATTGAGTAATTAGTAATTAGCCAATTATGGATTATATGGTAGTAGTTTTCTATCTTTTTTTCATGTTTCTGAGGATCCATTCCAGGGCCTTAGAAATCATGTAGACAAGAAATCTACCACTGAACTATGTCCCCAGACCCCAGTATTAGTTTTGTAAGCAAACCATTGCAAATATAGTTACATTAATGCTAGTAGTTTTGAAGTGATTTTGGTTTTTAACCATACTTGCAAATTGCTCTAAGAATTCAAACATTTACCCTAATTTTTCTCTTCCTTGCCTTCCTCTATTTCTGTCTCTCTTAATATCAAAAGTGAAATTAAGGAGAAAAAAGTAAATTCTAAAAATCTTCTTGTAATTTGGGAGTAGATTGAAATCAGTGCAAAGGATAGATATTTTACACAGTTATAGTTTATCATTTTGATTGCTTGAAGACAAGAGAGATAGTCTGCTAATTTACACTAGTAGCTACAATAAGACATACAGAGTTTAGTGATATAGTAATGATATTATTTCCAGTAATAGAATAATGGAAGTTCTTTGTGCTTCATTATTGAGCTTTTTAATGTTTACTGGATTTTTTTTTTTTCTGTCATGGTGTTGCAGATTTGAACCTATGGCCCTAAGCATGCTAGGCAAGTGCTTATCACTGAACTGCATTCAACCCTTGGGGGCGAAAAATCAGTACAAGGGCTAATATAACAACAAAATGGAAACCTATCATACAAAATATGTCATTTTAAAATGCTGCACAAAGTCAGGTGTGACGATTTTTCCTGTACTCCCGACTTCAGGGAAGTCTAAAGCAAGAAAAACACTTGAACCCAGGAGTCTGAGGCCATTCTGGGCAACAGTGAGAACCTGTCTCTTTAAAACACATAAACACAGAGAGTTGACCCCACTGAGTTTACTAACTATACATTTTGTATTCATACTTGTTAAAAAAAGAATATCAGCAATTATTGTTTTTTGAACTTTTTAAAAAATGAGCTTATATGTAGTGGTATATTATAATTGTCTTTTAGTTTATTTGTAGTGACTTACATGTGCTTAGGAATCTAGAAAACTGAAGTGTTATTTTTTTTAAGTTGTAGATGGACATGATACCTTTATTTTATATATTTTTTATTTTTATGTGGTGCTGAGTTATTAAACCCAGTGCCTCACACATGATAGTCAAGTGCTCTACCACTGAGCCACAACCCCAGCCCCTGAAGTTTTATGATTTTCTTTCTTAAACTTACTGCAGAAGGTTCCTTTAATGTAATAGGCAATCCAACCTATACTTTCCCATGTTATTTTCACTATTATCTATCTAGTACATTGATCATCATTTTGAACCTGGAAGAGAACCAGATTCCTAATAAGCTTACTCCTTTGTAGAGCACAAACTTCACCAGAATTCAAAAAACTCTAAAAAGGTAGGAAATTGGTGTTTACTGCCATTTCCCTAAGTGCTGAGAATAATGACTGAGGTTAAATAATACATCTATTCCATGAATAGGAATTGGAATAAGATGTCATGTGATAACCTAGAAAGACAGAGTTGGTGCATTAAAAACGTTTAATAAAGCAACAGATACATTTATTGGAGTATAGTCAAATAAGAATAGGAAGACCTTCTGAAGATGACCAACAGTTATATTTGATAGAATCAGCTTATTTTTCATTCCCAGACATTATTAATTGTAGCTTTCCTTATTTCCAGAATTTTACTAATTACGTATTCAAAAGGAAAGGGGGTTTCACCAATTGTTACATTTGTTTTACAAATTCCATGTAAATAATTCTTTTTGAACTCATATATCTTGGCAGGATCCTTGGACTAAATTGATTACTTTCTTAAAGTGAAAGATTAAATAATGGTGCATTTAAACATCCTGATTCACTGATTGCATAATTTCTAAAATATCAGTTGGTTAGAATAATCAAGTTTTTTCTTTTTAAATTGCCACAAAAATTTGAGATTGTTTTATCAACTGTCATTTTATTCATAGCATCTAGTTTATTTCTGGTTTTGGTTTTGTTTTGAACAGTATTAAGAAAGTCTTGATTCATTTAAATGGTAAGTTCCAAATCCATGGTTTTTAAATACCATGCTTTTTATTAGTGTGCTCTTTGATTAGACTGATTCAGAGGCTTGACATTAGAGTAGTAGGACAGTTTAACATTTAATTCTGCATACCTGTTGTAATAGGTATGTTTCCTTGTGCCTTTTTGCTATTAGTATATATAAATCTACCTCATTTCTAAAATAGTATTATTATTTGTATGA